AATTGTCCAACTCAAAAAACAGTCTTTTAAAAGCGGCTGAATAATCCAGTAAACAGAGTAAGTAACTGGGAGTGCACGTAGACAACGGACTGAGGTGGAGGATCAACACTGACGCTGTGTACAAGAAGGGGATGAGCCGACTCTATTTTCTGAGGAAGCTCAGATCCTTCCAAGTGTGCAGCAAGATGTTGGAGATCTTCTACCAGTCTGTTGTGGCCAGTGCTGCGGTCTGCTGGGAGGGGGGGGGGGGGGGGGGGGGAGGCAGCATCAGAGCCGGTGACACCAGCAGACTCAATAAACTGATCAGGAGAGCTGGCTCTATCATCGGTGTGAAACTGGGCAGTTTGTAGCTGTGGTGGAGAGGAGGACACTTAACAAACTGTTATCCATCATGGATAACCCCACCCACCCTCTCCACCTGCAGCTGGACAGACAGGAGCTCCTTCTCCAACAGACTGCTCCGCTGTCACACAGAGAGGGACAGGAAAACATTCCTGCCTTCTGCAATAACACTTTTCAACACGTCACCTCTGGCTGGCAGAGAGCTCACTGCTGCATTGAGCTCCACTTCCTGATAACAATTTGCAATGTTCTGTATATTTGTAAATGATATGCTCTCATATGTTTATACAGTATAGCATAAGCCTATATTCCTGCTACTGCAGTATTTTTGACCTGCAAAGCGATCACAAAGATCCAAATATGATTTAACTCACCAGCAGTCGAGGAGGGATAGAATGCTTCGACTCTGGCTGGACTTTCTGCTCCGTCTTTATCTCCCTCAGACTCCACTGGTCTCAATTTTCTTCAGCGAGTCGAGGAAACACCACATAAAGAGCTGAGTGCTTCCTGAATTACCTCTGACAAGCTGCCATGATTCCCTCCTCCTCTTCCTCTACCTTCCTCCACACACAGAAAAGACTTTCCAAACATTACCATCTCTCGTTTGTTCCCCAGCTCCCCCCCCCCGCTACTAAAGATTTAGGAAGAAAGATCAGGGTCTCAAGCCTCTTCTCAGAGTAACACCACTGCAAAATAATCTTCTCAGAGTAACACCACTGTAGAAGCATCTTCTCAGAGCAACACCTTTGTAAAAGCATCTTCTCCACCAATGATTTTCAAATATATGCATCAAGATAATCAGGGTCTACTGTCATATGTCATACAGAGACATGAGCGATTGAATTCGTATGAAAGGCATTCACACAACTAAGGTAATAAATAAGTATTTGTTTTCATATAATATCAGTTTTGATTCAATCAGCAAAAAATCGTGTAATTTAATAATTCTGCAAACAGACAGCAGAGACAGAGCCTGTGGTACCCTCTCTTTGGTCTCAAGTTCTTTGGTGGAGTTGTACTGTGTCCATTAAATAATATTTGAGGATTCATGTTATATGACTTTATGATGATGATAGCCTGCTTTTTATTTCTTATCCTGGACAATCTTATTTAGAAGTTTTGATTCAGATGGTCAGAATATATTCAAGGTACAGTTTAACAACACATGAACATCACACATGGATGTACTTACACATTAGTAATAAGAGAGAGCTTTGTGGTTTACCATTGAAATGTTCATGCTATTGTTATTGGTACCAATTTTTATTAATAAAAATAAAACTAGAATAAATCCAGAAGTATATCCAAACCCTTAAAGGTCCCATCATATGCTTTTCTGGTTACTACCCGTCCCCTTGTGTGTTATGTAGCTTTTTCTGCATGTAAATGGTCTGCAGAGTCACAAACCATCAAAGTACACCCTGTAGCGAGTAAAACTCTAACACAGAAAAGACCTGTCTGTGCTGCCCCAGAACGCCTCGTTGGAGATTTATCTTTTTCCATTTTTTTCTTCCGGGGCATGTTGACGTCACTAAGTCCAAATGGACCAATTGGACTCACTCACACTTATCTTTTCTCAGCCGCGATGCTCAGACCCCACGCAGCAGTCACCAGTATTCCACATACTATACAGAGATGCTGTATGAGAAACCAATGTGATTTTGGAACATTGAACAATGTAAATGTATTCTAGTAGACCTCAACAATGGAATTATGATCAGTAGAAATGGCCATGACATGGGACCTTTAAGATCATTAAAAAGTAATATGGGTTATATTGACTTGGTAATGTTGTGACATTTGTGAATTAATGTGAATAAGGTTTCTTATATATATCATATCTCACAGAAAGGGAATCCGAAGACATGTCACTTTTATAATACACACATTAATCTTTATTGTTTTAAAATGTTGAAACCATCGACACAAGCAAAAACAGGTTGATGTTGAAACATGTCCTGAGAGCCAGAGAGCAGACTGAGAGCAGTGTGAGAGAGAAAGCAGAGTCCCAGTGAGTCAGCTCAGGACTGGGAACACTGGTCTCTCCTCAGTGTCTCTGAGAGCGCAGTCTGGGAGCCCTGGGTGGCCTCACAGGTCACAGAGCGCACCTTCCTCCACTGGTCTGCAGGGAGCCCTCAGGGTGCTGCTCCAGCTGTAGTGGGCGTCCTTCTCCAGCACCCCGGGGCTCCTGCTCTCCTCCCAGCTGCTGCTGCTGCTGCTGCTGCTGCTGCTGCTGCTGCTGTCCACCTTCCAGGCCAGACTCCAGTCTGAGGGGAAGCCCTTGTTGGCCAGGCACACGAGCGTGGCCTTCCCCTGCTGCAGCTCTTCTGTGGAGGGGGGCAGCACCGTCAGGGTGGGACGGACATCACCTAGGAGACACCAATCAGATTAGAGGACAGGGAGCACACAGCTGTCAATCAACCAGCAGACACTGGGACACCTTTACTGTGAGAGCGTTTCTCCTTTAAGGAGTTTCTGTCAGATGTTGGTTCTGCTCCATCAGTCTCTCACTCACACATTGTTTCACTTCCCTTTAAGAAGCCTCTCATGCAAATCAGCACAGAGGCACTTCATACAGAATCACCTCAACTACACTGGAAATAAAGTACAACATTAGGAAGCATTTAAAAAGTTGTGGTCCAAATCATCCAAAACCTGAACTCTGCAAACCATTATTAAATTATTTACTGGATAAATGAACAAATACGGGAAATGGAGCAATCACTTGAGCTTAATGTGAATCTCAATCACTACCCAGTTTTACAAACTTTAAAATAATGTCTGAAAGAATTCAACACATTTTTTAATATCCATCGTTATCTTTACTCTGTTTAACTGTATATGAAAACTGTATTCGTCATTTCTTTAAAAACAGAGGGGAGAACCGAGATAGATACATTTAAAATAAGTTAAGGTAAAATTATCATTTTTATCATTTCACATTTGAAGCTGTTTAAATGACAGTATGTTGGGAATGTATAAAGACATTTCAAGAACATCTTCTCCAACTTAGGCTCAATGATGAAGAGAAATAAAGACATAAATACTAACACTATCTAAACATTACGATTAAAATAATACAAATCTATCTCTCAAACATTCTAACATAGAATTTAAAACGTCTCTTAACAACATCATATTTAGTTTTTGTGCAGAAACTTACTTCCAACATCCAGTCTGGTTCCTCCACCAAAAGTCAACCACAGTGATACAAAGTCATTGAGCCGCCGTACAAAAACCTCTCACTGTAGAGAGACACGGCTCTCTGACTTTGACACACTGAACTAAACCTACCAGCCCTCAAGATGCTACTTCACCATTAAAGGTGGAAATAAGGATTTATTCTCGTTTAACTCTCATAAAAACATTTAAATAACTTTTGCTGGAGTAAAGGTAGCCTCTTAGTTAAACAAATATTTGATAAGTATGTATACAATGACATGGAGAGGTAATTATTTCTCCTAGTACGCTGAATAATAAGTACAACAAAAGAGAAATTGCTCTTATGAATTCATATTTGACTTACTTCCAACATCCAGTCTGGTTCCTCCACCAAAAGTCAACCACAGTGATTCAAAGTCATTGAGCCGCCGTACAAAAACCTCTCACTGTAGAGAGATACGGCTCTCTGACTTTGACACACTGAACTAAACCTACCAGCCCTCAAGATGCTACTTCACCATTAAAGGTGGAAATAATAACTCTCATAAAAACATTTAAACGTCTTTTGCTGGAGGAAAGTTAGCCTCTTAGTGCAAAATATTTGAGAAGAATTTATACAATGACATGGAGAGGCAACTATTTTGCCTAGTATGCTGAATACACAACAAAAGAGAAATTGCTCTTGTAAAATAACATTTGACTTACTTCCAACATCCAGTCTGGTTCCTCCACCGAACGTGTACCACAGTGATACAAAGTCATTGAGCCGCCGTACAAAAACCTCTCACTGTAGAGAGACACGGCTCTCTGACTTTGACACAAACAAACTCACCAAACACATCCACAGTTTACCCAGTTTATTTAAGAACTGCTTCAAATGTTTGAAACAGATTCACAAACTATGGAAAAGTATCTAATGTTTCTTTTGTGAACCTTTTAAACATTTAAAAGGAATATTAAGTTGTGTCTTAAGTTTCAAAATGAAGATGATTCTTTCGAAAGAACGAATTGTTCACAAAATATGTTTTTTTTACGATTTTATCAACCTTTTCATCAAAGTAATTGAACACTTAAATTAAACAATAAATGTCTAATAAAAGCTCTACATGTTATACTTCCAAATGTGCATAATTCCCATGAATACATGTTTGTTTGTCCATCAGGATTCATAATAAACCTCCATTTAGTTTTTCCTAGGTGGTATTGATTATTTGGGGTTATTCATTTGAGCTTTTTAATGAAATTAAGTTCAAGAAAATGTGTCTATTGAACTTAGAGCCTCAAACAAGTGAGCGCTGACCCATTCCTGATCAATCCTCTGACAGAGAGATGGATCCATTGATAAACAGCATCATCAGAGTAATCCAGGTCCCTGTTGGAGTCAGTCAGAGCATTTCCATAGAGAGACACTTTGCATCAGCAGCACCATGCTCCAGTGCTCTGGGAGACCTTATAGTCCTGAGAGTTGAACACTGGATGACTGACAGCTGTCCTTCATGACAACAGAAGCCACAGAAATCCTCCTCATCAAAAACATGACTTTGATCTGCGTCCTCATCTGGACTCTCCTCTGCTGCTGCTTCACAGGTAAAGTCCAGAGAATCAAACTCCTCTCCTCTGTGAACATCCGTCCCTCTGGAATGAAGCGGACAAAACCATGACGCTGCTTTATGTCTTTGTCTCTGTATCCTCAGAGTCCAGAGGCCAGGTCACAGTGACTCAGTCTGGAGCAGTGAGCTCTGCTGCGGGACGCTCCGTCTCCATCACATGTACGACCAGTCAGGTGGTTTATGGTGGGACATGTTTAGCCTGGTACCAACAGAGAGATGGAGGAACTCCTAAACTTCTCGTTTACGTTGCTACCACTCGAGCATCAGGGATTTCAGAGCGTTTTACAGGCAGTGGATCAAACTCTGACTTCACTCTGACCATCAGTGGAGTCCAGACTGATGATGCAGCAGTTTACTACTGTCAGAGTCTCCATTACCCCAACAGTCAGTGGGTGTTCACACAGTGAAAAAGCGTCGTACAAAAACCTCCCTCAGTCAGACTGAACAGGAACTGAACTGACTGCTGCAGCTGGAAGCTACACTTCACTGAGGACACACACACACACACACACACACACACACACACACACACACACCACACACACACACACACACACACACACACACACACACACAAACACACAAACACAAACACACACTTTCATCTCCATTAAGCGTGTAACTTTTTTCTTTTTCAAGCAAAGACTTCTAAAATGTTCCTGATAATATATTAAGAGAATGAACTCATACACACCATACTAAAATACTAAATCTATAAAAGACACACTGAACGCATTGGTCCTCAGCTTCTTTTTGAACAGTGTTCACTTCTGTCTAACTGGAGTGACTCCCAAAGATGAAAAGTCCCGACTTCAAATCAAAGGTCACCTTCACTTTAAAGTCTGCAGTGAGGTAAATCCAGCCAGCCCTGATCATGAGACGTTTCTGACCTCCTAGTGATACAGCGCTGTAGAAGGTCAGAGATAAAGGAGGCTGTCTGACCATGCAGAGCTCTAAAAGGGATCACCAGTATCTTAAACTGGATTCTTTATTTAATGTGGAGCCAAGAATCAAAATCATCTGTTACATGAGATCTTTTCAAAGAGCCCGTCAAAGTTCATTTAACAGTCCTTTGAACATTTTAGTGAGTGATGGATGTGAAAGTTAAGTAGAAATTGAATTACACCGTTTAAATGGACAAACTAATCTGAAATGATCATCTCCAGTTTAGCTTGAAGCACATTGGGATACAACTTAACAAATAATGTAAACGGTAAACAACAGATGTGAATCCAACACTTCATGCTGCTGATCTAAAGTGTCAGCTATATTTCAGACAGTAGATTTGAACAGATGATAAAACAAGGAGCATCTGAAAACTGAAATAATACAACTTTATGGAGATTAAAGAAAAGCATCAGCATCTCAGGTATCTTCTCTGAGTATATTCATCATGAAATCATATTCCCCACTAATGACATTCATTTTCAAATCATATAAAACTGCCTTGTTTAATCTTGAAGACCATAATGTGATCAGTCATTAAATATAGTATTCTGTCTAATGCCACTCTTCTTTTAGATTTACAAAAATGATGAATTGCCGACTTCAGACTTTACATTTCTGTCAAAATGAATCATGTAAATTGAAGTAGCTACTGTATAAGAAAACTTGCAAAACTGAATTTGTATTCTGGTGTGAAACCTTTTAACAATCTGTATCAATAGATTTTTTTTTCTTTCACATGTGTCAAGCAACATATATTTCTACACTTTAAAATCTTCTCACCAACAGGCTCAACTTGTAGTACTTGCTTTGTGTAAACCAAATGAACTTGTGTTCGACATAGTAATCTTTGAGAGCCCATTATGTAGTGAAACATGAAACAGTGAATGCTGTCAGCACTGAGGGGGAACACCATGCTGTTTGAGGACAGCTACACTTCACTGACTCTGTGTGTTTGCATATGTGTCCTGCCTCTCTGCTCCCAGACGTTAAGAGGCCAGAGGTGATCAGCGGCTGTCCAGGTCTTTCAGAGCCACTGACACGCCGGCAGCACAATGATGATGTCACTGACTCTACTGCTGGCCACCCTGGGGCTCCTTGTTCAGGGTGAGACTCTCTTCTGAAAACGTTGCTTCAGGATGCAACCAGGTTCACCAACATGATGATCTGCTATGATGGAGAAGCACTGAGACAAGCAGCATGTACCTTCTTCCATCTGATCTCCATGTTAAAGAGAGGATGCTCTTCTGTTTGGATATTGATCATCTTTCTCCAAGCTGGATTTGTCTCAATAACCCTTCTGCTGTTTTCATGTTTTCCAGATTCATCAGGAGAAATCCTCCTGACTCAGTCTCCTGGATCTCTGTCTGTTGTTCCAGGACAGACTCTTTCTATCAAATGTACAGCCAGTACAAGTGCTGGCACATACCTTAACTGGTACCTTCAGAAACCTGGAGAAGCTCCTAAACCCTTGGTATATTATGCTACATCTCTTCAGTCTGGAGTTTCAAATCGTTTCAGTGGAAGTGGATCTGGGACTGTCTTCACTCTGACCGTCACTGGAGTTCAGACTGAAGATGCAGGAGATTATTATTGTCAGCAGTGGAACAGCTTCCCGTTCACACAGTGATACAACGTCGTACAAAAACCTCCTCAACTAAAGAGGAAGTGATTTGAATGAACAACTGCACAGAAAAAAAATAACTATAGCATTCATTACCAACATTTTTTTAATGTAATACCACAACAACACTTTCAACATTAAAAAAACTTGTTTATTTCTGTTCAAAATAGTTTTACAATTAGTTTGTGATTTTTGAGTACCAAAAGGTTTTCTAACAGCTTTAATAACCACTCTATAACTTTGGCCCTCATAACTGTGAACCCCAAGTGACATTATAGCATATATTTAATTTTGTATAAATACTGAGTGAATGCTAAATTCCTACGTTTTATGTTTGCTTTCTAACGTAATTTGTCAAGGAGCAGGAAAAGAAAAATATTTTAGCTCTTAACAAAACTTATTTTCTATCATGCTGTAAGAAATTGTGTACAATTACATAAGTGTATCATTGATACCGTTTTATTGCACTCACAATATATCAATGATGCTATGCAATTTCTTCAAAAAAAATTATAAAACTGTATATCTGTGTATATATGTGTATATATCAATGAAAAAGCTGAAGATTAAATCCATCAATTCATATAGCCCTATATCAGACATTTTACATTTGTCTCAGTGGACTTTACAGTTTGTACAGAATATAAATATGACACCCTTGGTCCTCGGACCCTCACATTGGACAAGGAAAAACATCCAAAGAAAATAAATGAAAAAAACCCGGAGAAAGCAACAGAGGAGGGATCCCTCTCCCAGGACGGACAGACGTGCAATAGATGTTGTTTGTAAATTAAAAAGACAATACATTTACAACATAGGTAGTCCAAATGCTTGAAAATGCATGTGTCTATAAATAAGAAGACATTGAATCCAGGTGGATGGCAACAATCCTGTGGGAGCCATCAAAGAAGTAGTAAGGAGAGCATCAGGCAGGACCACAGCGGCCGACAGCTATCCACGACTCAGGATCCACGACTCAGGATCTACGACTCAGGATCCACGACTCAGGATCCACGACTCAGGATCCACGACTCAGGATCCACATTACATTTCATATAGCTGACGCTTTTATCCAAAGCGACTTACAATAAGTGCATTTATTAGTATATAAGTGCTTTGTTAGTATGTTTTTATTTTATTTTTTATTTTATTGCTCGAAGTGGAGTCGAAAGAGATGAGTTTTCAGTCTGCGCCGGAAGATGTGTAAGCTTTAGGCTGTCCTGATGGGGAGCTCATCTGACGCAGAGCGGAGTGCACGTGCTGGGGTGTATGGTTTAACCATGTCCTGGATGTAGGAAGGGCCAGATCCATTCACAGCATGGTACGCTAGTACCAGTGTCTTGAAGTGGATTCTAGCAGTTACTGGAAGCCAGTGAAGGGAGCGGAGGAGCGGTGTGGTGTGGGAAAATGTAGGAAGGTTGAAGACCAGACGAGCCGCTGCATTCTGGATGAGCTGCAGAGGTCGTGGATCCAAGACTCAGGATCCACTTTTCCTTTTATACATAAATATGTGTCCCCTCTGTGTAAAGGCATTATGAAAGTTTCAGGAAAAAAGATTCCCTTTCTTTTTATCCTGATCCATCTAAAAACCTGTCTGAAAATGAGCTGATCAGATTTTGGCCACTTTTTGATGTCACAATGTTTTTGTTGGGCTGTGCAACCATTAGCCAATAACCAACCAAGGTAACACCGGCCCACCTTATCACCTGCATCTCCTCCTAGAGCACCATTGTGTTTTTTTAAACCAAACACAGGGCTGAAGCAGAGGGGTTTACTGGATTATACCATGCATGATCTGTTTGGTTTTTAGAGCCAAACACTTCAGAGACATGGTTTGTAAATATCTGAGACCTATAATATATTGTTGAAAAGGAGTATAATAGGGGACCTTTAAGGTAATCTCAATTTAGATTCAAGTTATATAACTGTATGCAGATGATACCCTGCTTTTCATTTCTTAACCTGCATTTCTTTTTCTTATTGAGTCAGATGTCCAGAATGAATTCAGGGTAACATTTAACAACACATGAACATAACATACAGAATACATTAAACATTAGTTATAAGAGCTTTGTGGTTTACCATTTAAATATTCCTACTAAGGTTATTGGAACTAATTAATAACATAGATAGAACCAAAATGAATGCGGAAGTACATCAACAGTCTAGCAATTATTAACAAGTCATCTGGAAAAAATGTATGATGGCTTTTGTGAATTCATGTGAATAAGGTTTCTTATCATATCTCACAGAAAGGGAATCAGAACACACTTTTATAATACACACATTAATCTTTATTGTTTTAAAATGTTGGAACCATCGACACAAGCAAAAACAGGTTGATGTTGAAACATGTCCTGAGAGCCAGAGAGCAGACTGAGAGCAGTGTGAGAGAGAAAGCAGAGTCCCAGTGAGTCAGCTCAGGACTGGGAACACTGGTCTCTCCTCAGTGTCTCTGAGAGCGCAGTCTGGGAGCCCTGGGTGGCCTCACAGGTCACAGAGCGCACCTTCCTCCACTGGTCTGCAGGGAGCCTCAGGGTGCTGCTCCAGCTGTAGTGGGCGTCCTTCTCCAGCACCCCGGGGCTCCTGCTCTCCTCCCAGCTGCTGCTGCTGCTGCTGCTGCTGCTGTCCACCTTCCAGGCCAGACTCCAGTCTGAGGGGAAGCCCTTGTTGGCCAGGCACACGAGCGTGGCCTTCCCCTGCTGCAGCTCTTCTGTGGAGGGGGGCAGCACCGTCAGGGTGGGACGGACATCACCTAGGAGACACCAATCACATTAGAGGACAGGGAGCACACAGCTGTCAATCAACCAGCAGACACTGGGACACCTTTACTGTGAGAGCGTTTCTCCTTTAAGGAGTTTCTGTCAGATGTTGGTTCTGCTCCATCAGTCTCTCACTCACACATTGTTTCACTTCCCTTTAAGAAGCCTCTCATGCAAATCAGCACAGAGGCACTTCATACAGAATCACCTCAACTACACTGGAAATAAAGTACAACATTAGGAAGCATTTAAAAAGTTGTGGTCCAAATCATCCAAAACCTGAACTCTGCAAACCATTTTTAAATTATTTACTGGATAAATGAACAAATACGGGAAATGGAACAATCAATTGAGCTTAGTGTGAATCTCAATCACTACCCAGTTTTACTAACTTTAAAATAATGTCTGAAAGAATTCAACACATTTTTTAATATCCATCGTTATCTTTACTCTGTTTAACTGTATATGAAAACTGTATTCGTGATTTCTTTGAAAACAGAAGGGAGAACCGAGATAGATACATTTAAAATAAGTTAAGGTAAAATTAGCAGTTTTATCATTTCACATTTGAAGCTGTTTAAATGACAGTATGTTGGGAATGTATAAAGACATTTCAAGAACATCTTCTCCAACTTAGGCTCAACGATGAAGAGAAATAAAGACATGAATACTAACACTATCTAAACATTACGATTAAAATAATAAAAATCTATCTCTCAAACATTCTAACATAGAATTTAAAACATCTCTTAACAACATCATATTTAGTTTTTGTGCAGAAACTTACTTCCAACATCCAGTCTGGTTCCTCCACCAAAAGTCCACCACAGTGATACAAAGTCATTGAGCCGCCGTACAAAAACCTCTCACTGTAGAGAGACACGGCTCTCTGACTTTGACACACTGAACTAAACCTACCAGCCCTCAAGATGCTACTTCACCATTAAAGGTGGAAATAAGGATTTATTCTCGTTTAACTCTCATAAAAACATTTAAACGTCTTTTGCTGGAGGAAAGTTAGCCTCTTAGTGCAAAATATTTGAGAAGAATTTATACATGGAGAGGCAACTATTTTGCCTAGTATGCTGAATACACAACAAAAGAGAAATTGCTCTTGTAAAATAACATTTGACTTACTTCCAACATCCAGTCTGGTTCCTCCACCGAACGTGTACCACAGTGATACAAAGTCATTGAGCCGCCGTACAAAAACCTCTCACACGGCTCTCTGACTTTGACACAAACAAACTCACCAAACACATCCACAGTTTACCCAGTTTATATAAGAACTGCTTCAAATGTTTGAAACATATTCACAAACTATGGAAAAGTATCTAATGTTTCTTTTGTGAACCTTTTAAACATTTAAAAGGAATAGTAAGTTGTGTCTTAAGTTTCAAAATGAAGATGATTCTTTCGAAAAACGAATTGTTCACAAAATATGTTTTTTTACGATTTTATCAACTTTTTCATCAAAGTAATTGAACACTTAAATGAAACAATACATGTCTAATAAAAGCTCTACATGTTATACTTCCAAATGTGCATAATTCCCATAAATACATGTTTGTTTGTCCATCAGGATTCATAATAAACCTCCATTTTGTTTTTCCTAGGTGGTATTGATTATTTGGGGTTATTCATTTGAGCTTTTTAATGAAATTAACTGCAAGAAAATGTGTCCATTGAACTTAGAGCCTCAAACAAGTGAGCGCTGACCCATTCCTGATCAATCCTCTGACAGAGAGATGGATCCATTGATGAACAGCATCATCAGAGTAATCCAGGTCCCTGTTGGAGTCAGTCAGAGCATTTCCATAGAGAGACACTTTGCATCAGCAGCACCATGCTCCAGTGCTCTGGGAGACCTTATAGTCCTGAGAGTTGAACACTGGATGACTGACAGCTGTCCTTCATGACAACAGAAGCCACAGGAATCCTCCTCATCAAAAACATGACTTTGATCTGCGTCCTCATCTGGACTCTCCTCTGCTGCTGCTTCACAGGTAAAGTCCAGAGAATCAAACTCCTCTCCTCTGTGAACATCCGTCCCTCTGGAATGAAGCGGACAAAACCATGACGCTGCTTTATGTCTTTGTCTCTGTATCCTCAGAGTCCAGAGGCCAGGTCACAGTGACTCAGTCTGGAGCAGTGAGCTCTGCTGCGGGACGCTCCGTCTCCATCACATGTACGACCAGTCAGGTGGTTTATCAAGGGAACCGTTTAGCCTGGTACCAACAGAGAGATGGAGGAACTCCTAAACTTCTCGTTTACGTTGCTACCACTCGAGCATCAGGGATTTCAGACCGTTTTACAGGCAGTGGATCAAACTCTGACTTCACTCTGACCATCAGTGGAGTCCAGACTGATGATGCAGCAGTTTACTACTGTCAGAGCTTCCATTACCCCAACAGTCAGTATGTGTTCACACAGTGAAAAAGCGTCGTACAAAAACCTCCCTCAGTCAGACTGAACAGGAACTGAACTGACTGCTGCAGCTGGAAGCTACACTTCACTGAGGACACACACACACACACACACACACACACACACACACACACACACACACACACACACACACACACACACACACACACACACACACACACACACACACACACACACACACACACTTTCATCTCCATTAAGCGTGTAACTTTTTTCTTTTTCAAGCAAAGACTTCTGAAATGTTCCTGATAATATATTAAGAGAATGAACTCATACACACCATACTAAAATACTAAATCTATAAAAGCCACACTAAACTCATTGGTCCTCAGCTTCTTTTTGAACAGTGTTCACTTCTGTCTAACTGGAGTGACTCCCAAAGATGAAAAGTCCCGACTTCAAATCAAAGGTCACCTTCACTTTAAAGTCTGCAGTGAGGTAAATCCAGCCAGCCCTGATCATGAGACGTTTCTGACCTCCTAGTGATACAGGGCTGTAGAAGGTCAGAGATAAAGGAGGCTGTCTGACCATGCAGAGCTCTAAAAGGGATCACCAGTATCTTAAACTGGATTCTTTATTTAATGTGGAGCCAAGAATCAAAATCATCTGTTACATGAGATCTTTTCAAAGAGCCCGTCAAAGTTCATTTAACAGTCCTTTGAACATTTTAGTGAGTGATGGATGTGAAAGTTTAATAGAAATTGAATTACACTGTTTAAATGGACAAACAAATCTGAAATGATCATCTCCAGCTTAGCTTGAAGCACATTGGGATACAACTTAACAAATAATGTAAACGGTAAACAACAGATGTGAATCCAACACTTCATGCTGCTGATCTAAAGTGTCAGCTATATTTCAGACAGTAGATTTGAACAGATGATAAAACAAGGAGCATCTGAAAACTGAAATAATACAACTTTATGGAGATTAAAGAAAAGCATCAGCATCTCAGGTATCTTCTCTGAGTATATTCATCATGAAATCATATTCCCCACTAATGACATTCATTTTCACATCATATAAAACTGCCTTGTTTAATCTTTAAGACCATAACGTGATCAGTCATTAAATATAGTATTCTGTCTAATGCCACTCTTCTTTTAGATTTACAAAAAGGATGAATTGCCGACTTCAGACTTTACATTTCTGTCAAAATGAATCATGTAAATTAAAGTAGCTACTCTATAAGAAAACTTGCAAAACTGAATTTGTATTCTGGTGTGAAACCTTTTAACAATCTGTATCGATAGATTTTTTTCTTTCACGTGTGTCAAGCAACATATATTTCTACACTTTAAAATCTTCTCACCAACAGGCTCAACTTGTAGTACTTGCTTTGTGTAAACCAAATGAACTTGTGTTCGACATAGTAATCTTTGAGAGCCCATTATGTAGTGAAACATGAAACAGTGAATGCTGTCAGCACTGAGGGGGAACACCATGCTGTTTGAGGACAGCTACACTTCACTGACTCTGTGTGTTTGCATATGTGTCCTGCCTCTCTGCTCCCAGACGTTAAGAGGCCAGAGGTGATCAGCGGCTGTCCAGGTCTTTCAGAGCCACTGACACGCCGGCAGCACAATGATGATGTCACTGACTCTACTGCTGGCCACCCTGGGGCTCCTTGTTCAGGGTGAGACTCTCTTCTGAAAACGTTGCTTCAGGATGCAACCAGGTTCACCAACATGATGATCTGCTATGATGGAGAAGCACTGAGACAAGCAGCATGTACCTTCTTCCATCTGATCTCCATGTTAAAGAGAGGATGATCTTCTGTTTGGATGTTGATCATCTTTCTCCAAGCTGGATTTGTCTCAATAACCCTTCTGCTGTTTTCATGTTTTCCAGATTCATCAGGAGAAATCCTCCTGACTCAGTCTCCTGGATCTCTGTCTGTTGTTCCAGGACAGACTCTTTCTATCAAATGTACAGCCAGTACAAGTGCTGGCACATACCTTAACTGGTACCTTCAGAAACCTGGAGAAGCTCCTAAACTCTTGGTATATCGTTCTACATCTCTTCAGTCTGGAGTTTCAAATCGTTTCAGTGGAAGTGGATCTGGGACTGTCTTCACTCTGAGCGTCACTGGAGTTCAGGCTGAAGATGCAGGAGATTATTATTGTCAGCAGTGTAACAGCTCGCCGTTCACACAGTGATACAACGTCGTACAAAAACCTCCTCAACTAAAGAGGAAGTGATTTGAATGAACAACTGCACAGAAAAAAAATAACTATAGCATTCATTACCAACATTTTTTTAATGTAATACCACAACAACACTTTCAACATTAAAAAAACTTGTTTATTTCTGTTAAAGATAGTTTTACAATTAGTTTGTGATTTTTGATTGCCAAAAGTTTTTTTAACAACTTCAATAACCACTCTATAACTTTGGCCCTCATAACTGTGAACCCCAAGTGACATTATAGCACATATTTAATTTTGTATAAATATTGAGTGAATGCTAAATTCTTACTGTTTATGTTTGCTTTCTAACGTAATTTGTCAAGGAGCAGGAAAAGAAAAATATCTTAGCTCTTAACAAAACTTATTTTCTATCATGCTGTAAGAAATTGTGTACAATTACATAAGTGTATCATTGATACCGTTTTATTGCACTCACAATATATCAATGATGCTATGCAATTTCTTCAAAAAAAATTATAAAACTGTATATCTGTGTATATATGTGTATATATCAATGAAAAAGCTGAAGATTAAATCCATCAATTCATATAGCCCAATATCAGACATTTTACATTTGTCTCAGCGGACTTTACAGTTTGTACAGAATATAAATACGACAGCCTTGGTCCTCGGACCCTCACATTGGACAAGGAAAAACATCCAAAGAAAATAAATGAAAAAAACCCAGGGAAAGCAACAGAGGAGGGATCCCTCTCCCAGGACGGACAGACGTGCAATAGATGTTGTTTGTAAATTAAAAAGACAATACATTTACAACATAGGTAGTCCAAATGCTTGAAAATGCATGTGTCTATAAATAAGAAGACATTGAATCCAGGTGGATGGCAACAATCCTGTGGGAGCCATCAAAGAAGTAGTAAGGAGGAGAGCATCAGGCAGGACCACAGCGACAGCTATAGCCACGACTCAGGATCCACGACTCAGGATCCACGACTCAGGATCCACGACTCAGGATCCACATTACATTTCATTTAGCTGACGCTTTTATCCAAAGCGACTTACAATAAGTGCATTCGACCAAGAAGATACAAACTTGAAGAAAACAGAATCATATAAGTACATTATGTTTCATAGAGCCAAACCATTTTAAGTGCTACTCAACTGGCTTTAGATAAGCCAGTCCTTTATTAGTAAATAAGTGCTTTGTTAGTATGTTTTTATTTTATTTATTTTATTTTTTATTGTATTGCTCAAAGTGGAGTCGAAAGAGATGAGTTTTCAGTCTGCGCCGGAAGATGTGTAAGCTTTAGGCTGTCCTGATGTCAATGGGGAGCTCAGAGCGGAGTGCACGTGCTGGGGTGTATGGTTTAACCATGTCCTGGATGTAGGAAGGGCCAGATCCATTCACAGCATGGTACGCTAGTACCAGTGTCTTGAAGTGGATTCTAGCAGTTACTGGAAGCCAGTGAAGGGAGCGGAGGAGCGGTGTGGTGTGGGAAAATGTAGGAAGGTTGAAGACCAGACGAGCCGCTGCATTCTGGATGAGCTGCAGAGGTCGTGGATCCAAGACTCAGGATCCACTTTTCCTTTTATACATAAATATGTGTCCCCTCTGTGTAAAGGCATTATGAAAGTTTCAGGAAAAAAGATTCCCTTTCTTTTTATCCTGATCCATCTAAAGACCTGTCTGAAAATGAGCTGGTCAGATTTTGGCCACTTTTTGATGTCACAATGTTTTTGTTGGGCTGTGCAACCATTAGCCAATAACCAACCAAGGTAACACCGGCCCACCTTATCACCTGAATCTCCTCCTAGAGCACCATTGTGTTTTTTTAAACCAAACACAGGGCTGAAGCAGAGGGGTTTACTGGATTATATCATGCATGATCTGTTTGGTTGTTAGAGCCAAACACTTCAGACACATGGTTTGTAAATATCTGAGACCTATAATATATTGTTGAAAAGGAGTATAATAGGGGACCTTTAAGGTAATCTCAATTTAGATTCAAGTTATATAACTGTATGCAGATGATACCCTGCTTTTCATTTCTTAACCTGCATTTCTTTTTCTTATTGAGTCAGATGTCCAGAATGAATTCAGGGTAACATTTAACAACACATGAACATAACATACAGAATACATTAAAAATTAGTTATAAGAGCTTTGTGGTTTACCATTTAAATATTCCTACTAAGATTATTGGAACTAATTAATAACATAGATAGAACCAAAATGAATGCGGAAGTACATCAACAGTCTAGCAATTATTAACAAGTCATCTGGAAAAAATGTATGATGGCTTTTGTGAATTCATGTGAATAAGGTTTCTTATCATATCTCACAGAAAGGGAATCAGAACACACTTTTATAATACACACATTAATCTTTATTGTTTTAAAATGTTGGAACCATCGACACAAGCAAAAACAGGTTGATGTTGAAACATGTCCTGAGAGCCAGAGAGCAGACTGAGAGCAGTGTGAGAGAGAAAGCAGAGTCCCAGTGAGTCAGCTCAGGACTGGGAACACTGGTCTCTCCTCAGTGTCTCTGAGAGCGCAGTCTGGGAGCCCTGGGTGGCCTCACAGGTCACAGAGCGCACCTTCCTCCACTGGTCTGCAGGGAGCCTCAGGGTGCTGCTCCAGCTGTAGTGGGCGTCCTTCTCCAGCACCCCGGGGCTCCTGCTCTCCTCCCAGCTGCTGCTGCTGCTGCTGCTGCTGTCCACCTTCCAGGCCAGACTCCAGTCTGAGGGGAAGCCCTTGTTGGCCAGGCACACGAGCGTGGCCTTCCCCTGCTGCAGCTCTTCTGTGGAGGGGGGCAGCACCGTCAGGGTGGGACGGACATCACCTAGGAGACACCAATCAGATTAGAGGACAGGGAGCACACAGCTGTCAATCAACCAGCAGACACTGGGACACCTTTACTGTGAGAGCGTTTTTCCTTTAAGGAGTTTCTGTCAGATGTTGGTTCTGCTCCATCAGTCTCTCACTCACACATTGTTTCACTTCCCTTTAAGAAGCCTCTCATGCAAATCAGCACAGAGGCACTTCATACAGAATCACCTCAACTGCACTGGAAATAAAGTACAACATTAGGAAGCATTTAAAAAGTTATGGTCCAAATCATCCAAAACCTGAACTCTGCAAACCATTATTTAAAATGATTTACTGGATAAATGAACAAATACGGGAAATGGAGCAATCAATTGAGCTTAATGTGAATCTCAATCACTACCCAGTTTTACTAACTTTAAAATAATGTCTGAAAGAATTCAACACATGTTTTAATATCCATCGTTATCTTTACTCTGTTTAACTGTATATGAAAACTGTTTTCCTAATTTCTTTAAAAACAGAAGGGAGAACCGAGATAGATACATTTAAAATAAGTTAAGGTAAAATTAGCAGTTTTATCATTTCACATTTGAAGCTGTTTAAATGACAGTATGTTGGGAATGTATAAAGACATTTCAAGAACATCTTCTCCAACTTAGGCTCAATGATGAAGAGAAATAAAGACATGAATACTAACACTATCTAAAGATTACGATTAAAATAATAAAAATCTATCTCTCAAACATTCTAACATAGAATTTAAAACGTCTCTTAACAACATCATATTTAGTTTTTGTGCAGAAACTTACTTCCAACATCCAGTCTGGTTCCTCCACCAAAAGTCCACCACAGTGATACAAAGTCATTGAGCCGCCGTACAAAAACCTCTCACTGTAGAGAGACACGGCTCTCTGACTTTGACACACTGAACTAAACCTACCAGCCCTCAAGATGCTACTTCACCATTAAAGGTGGAAATAATAACTCTCATAAAAACATTTAAACGTCTTTTGCTGGAGGAAAGTTAGCCTCTTAGTGCAAAATATTTGAGAATAATTTATACAATGACATGGAGAGGCAAATATTTTGCCTAGTATGCTGAATACACAACAAAAGAGAAATTGCTCTTGTAAAATAACATTTGACTTACTTCCAACATCCAGTCTGGTTCCTCCACCGAACGTGTACCACAGTGATACAAAGTCATTGAGCCGCCGTACAAAAACCTCTCACTGTAGAGAGACACGGCTCTCTGACTTTGACACAAACAAACTCACCAAACACATCCACAGTTTACCCAGTTTATATAAGAACTGCTTCAAATGTTTGAAACAGATTCACAAACTATGGAAAAGTATCTAATGTTTCTTTTGTGAACCTTTTAAACATTTAAAAGGAATATTAAGTTGTGTCTTAAGTTTCAAAATGAAGATGATTCTTTCGAAAGAACGAATTGTTCACAAAATATGTTTTTTTACGATTTTATCAACTTTATCATCAAAGTAATTGAACACTTAAATGAAACAATAAATTTATAATAAAAGCTCTACATGTTATACTTCCAAATGTGCATAATTCCCATAAATACATGTTTGTTTGTCCATCAGGATTCATAATAAACCTCCATTTTGTTTTTCCTAGGTGGTATTGATTATTTGGGGTTATTCATTTGAGCTTTTTAATGAAATTAACTGCAAGAAAATGTGTCCATTGAACTTAGAGCCTCAAACAAGTGAGCGCTGACCCATTCCTGATCAATCCTCTGACAGAGAGATGGATCCATTGATGAACAGCATCATCAGAGTAATCCAGGTCCCTGTTGGAGTCAGTCAGAGCATTTCCATAGAGAGACACTTTGCATCAGCAGCACCATGCTCCAGTGCTCTGGGAGACCTTATAGTCCTGAGAGTTGAACACTGGATGACTGACAGCTGTCCTTCATGACAACAGAAGCCACAGGAATCCTCCTCATCAAAAACATGACTTTGATCTGCGTCCTCATCTGGACTCTCCTCTGCTGCTGCTTCACAGGTAAAGTCCAGAGAATCAAACTCCTCTCCTCTGTGAACATCCGTCCCTCTGGAATGAAGCGGACAAAACCATGACGCTGCTTTATGTCTTTGTCTCTGTATCCTCAGAGTCCAGAGGCCAGGTCACAGTGACTCAGTCTGGAGCAG